TTTAAAAAAAAAAAATAGAATCCTGTGGGCTAGGATTGTGGTTGAACAGTAGAGTGCTCACCTAGCACATGAGAAGCCCTGGGTTTGATCCTCAGCACCACATAAAAATAAAATAAAAGATGTTGTGTCTGCTGAAAACTAAAAAATAAATATTAAAAAATTCTCTATTTAAAAAAATATAAATAAATAAATAAAATAAAGGTATTGTGTCCAACTACAACTAAAAATAATATTTAAAAAAAAAAACCTTTGTGTATGTATGTGTGTGTGATACTGGGGATTGAATTCAGGGCTTAGTACATGCTAGGCAAGCACCCTATCACTAAGCTAATACCTCCAGCCCTTTTTAAATTTTGAGACAGTTTCAATATATTGCCCAGACTGGCCTCATACTGGATATCCTCCTGTCTCAGTCTCCTGAGTTGTTGGGATTACAGGCAGGTGTCACATACTCAGCCTTAAACACTTTCTTAAGGCCATAAGTGGCAGAGCAGGGACTAGAATTCAGAATGTTCCAAATCCAAAGTCCAGTCCCATCCTGTACCATGGTGGATTTGTAAAGAACCTAGGCTGGGGGCTGGGGGTGCAGCTCAGTGGTAGAGTGCTTGTCTGTCATGCATGAGGCCCTGGGTTCAGCCCCCAGCACAAAAACAAAAACAAAACCCAGAATCTCGGGTGGATTTGGATACAGTGGCCAAAATACTCAAGTTACAATAAAATTTTGTGAACCCTAAATCATGGGCTATGGACATTATCAATTAAATATATAACTCTTAGAGGAGAACTTTATATAAATTCAATTCAAAATAAAGGCAATTATGAGAAAATAAAAATAAAAGATCATATTTGTAAAATAGCTATTGCTGGAGTTGGTTGCAAAAATGCTTTTTGAAAGCAACTTTAATACAAAATTGTGATTGTGCAAGGTACCTCACCTGTGATTATGTTATCAACCAATGGCTACAGAGAGATAGTGGAGAAAAAGGAGAAATGGATTAACTTCCAAAATAAGTAGACTCGGGCGTGTCTCAAGGGTTGCCTAACACTGACTCCCTGTTCCCAAGTCATGGGTGGAGTCCATGCTTGTGGCTCCAGGAGGAGGAGGGAAAATGCTTTTCCAACAAAAGCTTTCTAAAGGGACAATACAACCTTAGGTAATTTCTTTCAAACAATGTCTTTTCTTCTCAGTTCAAGCAGATTTGGTGTTCTCATCCCTGGAATAGCACAGGCCCCAGGAAAGCAAAATATCCCACACTTATTGAGCAAATGGAACAATGCCCTGATTAGTTAAATATGCTTGGGGAGAAAGAGCTTTTCTGTTAGTTTTTTTTTTTTTTTTTTTTTTTTCTTGAGCCCTGATTTAGTTATGTTACAAATGGTGGGAGCCAACACTGAAGGAAAGCATCTTTTTCTCTGGAAGGGGATGTACTCAGATCCCAGAGCTCCCAGAAATGAGGAAAGCCATATTCAAGGACCTTCTCTACCTTCAACTTTCCACTGGGAAATGAGGGACTTGAGGCAGATATTTAGAGATCCAGGCTACCAACTCCCTGCTCCATCCCAGGCTGCCCCTCCGCCCCTCTGCTGAGTCACAATCTCAGTGGGATTGCAATTATGATGAATTGTTTTTACTTTATTCTAACCACCACTGCTTTAAAAAAAAGAGTAATTTAAAAAACTTGTTTCATATAAAAATCCCTAGCTCCATTTTTATTTGCCTTTTGATTTCATATTTTTGGTACTGGGGAATGAACCCAAGGGCACTTTACCACTGAGCCACATCCCCAGGTCTTTTTTTTTTTTTTTTTTTTTTTGAGAAAGGGTCTAAGTCGCTGAGGCTGGCTTCAAACTTGTGATCTTCCTGTCTCAGCCTCCTAATTCACTAGGATTATAGGCATGCATCACCAAGCCCAGCTTGATAAATGTTTTCAAAGTAATTTATTTCTTGAAGTTCTTTTTTAAAGTAATCTGTAATAACTATTCATATAATCTGTATTTAGCTGCAGTAGAGAACACTGCTTTATATATTTTATCCTTACCCAGATATATTTTGTATGTTTTCTGTACAAAACATATACTGTCTATTCTGAGCAAGTATATATTTGTTCTATATAAAATAGCATGGTTAGATTGTGAATATACTTATCCAGAATTATAAAAATTGTATAATTATATCTTTAAATTATCAATACAAAATTTTTCAGGAACACAGTCCAATTGGAATTCATCTAGAAGAGTTGCCAGCACAAACCTGTAAATATAGACAGGGGAGATATGCAGATTTAAATTAAAGGGCATCTGTTTGGTACTGGAAAACACTGTAGAGGTGAACTAAAGAAAGAAGTTTTTGAGGAATGACCAGAATTTGCAGGTTTCCCAATAGCAAAGAAAACTCCTTTCTTGCCAGGTGCTGGGTGCACACCTATAATTCCAGCAACTTGGGAGCATTGCAAGTTCAAGGCCAGCTTCAGCAACTTATCAAGGTCCTAATCAATATAGTAAGACCCTGTCTCAAAATAAAAAATAAAAAAGGCTGGGATGTAGAGCTGGGGATATGGCTCAAGCGGTAATGCGCTCGCCTGGCATGCTCGGGGCACTGGGTTTGATCCTCAGCACCACATAAAAATAAAATAAAGATGTTGTGTCCACCGAAAACTGAAAAATAAATATTAAAAAAAAATTCTCTCCTCTCTCTCTCTCTCTCTCTCTCTTAAGAAAAAAAAAAAAAAAGGCTGGGATGTAGCTCTGTGGTTAAGCACCCTGGGGGGCGGGGGAGGAAGAGGAGGAGGAGGAACAACTCCTCTGAAGCAAGAAACCAGAAAACAAAAATCAAGGGGCTGGGGATGTGGCTCAAGCGGTATCGCGCTCGCCTGGCATTCATGCAGCCCGGGTTCAATCCTCAGCACCACATACAGACAAAGATGTGTCCGCTGAAAAACTAAAAAATAAATAAATATTAAAAATTCTCTCTCTCTCTCTCTCTCTCTCTCTCTCTCGCTTTAAAAAAAAAAAAACTCAAATCAAAACCCTCAGTTCCAGATTAAAAGAAACTAACAAGGCATAATAATTAAACAAAATACATAACCTCAGGTGGAGATGGAGGAAAACCTGAAATTGGTGATTGTACTTTGGTTATGTAAGAGAATGTCCTTGTTCTTAGAAAATACAAGTAAAGGGTTAGAATGTTTGCAACTAAATCACAAATGACTAGGGCCGGGGAGACAGAGGGAATTAAAATAAGATATGTCAAAGCGTTAAAAATTTGGTGCACAGTATAAGGGAATTCTTGGCACTCTTYTTCCAATTCTTATGTTCCAGAATAAGAAGTTAAAAAATATGCCTTCTAGGGCTTGGGTTGTGGCCTAGTGGTAGAGCACTTGCCCCTCACAGGTGAGGTACTGGGTTTGATCTTCAGCACTACATAAAAATAAATAAATAAAGATATTGTGTCCATCTACAACTAGAAAAAAWATATACATTTAAAAAAATTGTGTTCTCAAAGCTTCTCTCACCCCATCTGTAGTTGAGAACTTTGATAACATGACTACATCAAAATATTAAGAAATTCTTGCTGGACATGATGGTACAATTTGTAATCCCAGTGACTTGAGGGGCTGAGGCAAGAGGATTACAAATTTAAGGCCAGCTCAGCAACTTAGCAAGTTGCCTAAGCAACTTAGTGAGACCCTGTCTGAAAAAATCAAAAGGGCTGGGGCTGTGGCTCAGTGGTTAAATGCCCTTGGGTTGAATCCCTGATACCAGAACAAAAACAAAAACAAAAAAAACCTTCCATCTGCAAACCTTCGACTCAAGAACTTCTCTAAGTACAAAATAACCTTATAAAGCAGAAGCCTCATCAGCATCTGCCTCCAGAAAATAGTCCTAGAGTAATGATTTTTGAACCTGGCTTCATTGCAGAATCACCTGGAAACTTTAAAGGAGGGGGGCGGGAGGTGTCCTGTGATCTACCATGATCCTTTAAATTAAACTCTTTGGAGCCCAACTCACACATAATTCTATCTGTGGCCAGGGTGGAGAGCCTCTGTATTAGAGGGGTACATGATCTACTTAGCAACCCACTCATGACTTTGGCATTTACAACTGCACAAGTTGGACCAGCCCTTCAGAAAGCAGAGAAATCAAGTAGACATCAGATGCTCCAGTGTGAAGCTACAGACATTTGCTAACTTCCCACCAGCTCTAGGGAGATTCCTGCCCTTCCTGGAAGTAATATTCCTAGGATAGAGAGAGCAAATACAGGGAAGTGCTGTCCCTTCATTGCTTTACACAGRTTTGCAAGGAAGGGAGGGCAGTCCAGCTTGGTCACCCTGTTAGGCTTTGATATTCAGCCTTGTTCTTCCCGGATACCAGCAGAGGGCGCTACATACCCAGCTAATGGACGCAGCTGCACCTAAGCACTAGGAGACGGAAACAGGTGGAAATGCTGAATCACCCAGCTGAGTGAGGCTGTGAAGACTGAATCATGCCTCTATCATGTCATGATCTGATTACTTCTCTATATTTCCCACTGGACTATGAGCTCAGACTGTGTCTGATTTATCTTCTGTCTGCAGTCTTGCAGGTGCAGGACACAGCAGGGATGGGCAAATATTAACTGTTGTTGCTATTTCTGGCACCTGACAAATGAGTATTCACCATAAGTGAACAGATGTTAGTTAGCCTCACTGGGACTCTCAAGAAGCCAGAGGTCCCTCTGCCCTCCCTGCCAGGCCTCTTGCAGGTGGCTTTTGCATTTTTGCATCTTGGGCCAGGCTCATGGCTAATAAGACTTTTTTTTTTTTTTTTAATACACTTCCTTCATGGAGGGAGACCCCAATAAATCAGGTTGTAAGAAATTCATGGTCCCTCTGCATCCCACTTATCCCTTCCCAAGTCCTAGAACATCTGTCACCAGCAGGTGGGGCCTCAAGCCTCTCACCACCCACAACCTAGAAGGAGCTTGCAAGGCCTTGGGCCCAGACAAAGGGCAGGAGACTCACACTCCAGCTGGCACCAGCGGCTGGAACTTCCACTGTTCCTCCTCACAGTCCAGGAAGAGCCGGTTCATGATCTTGTTCTTCTCCTCAGGGGGAATGAAGTTCTCGATTATTAGGTACCTGGGAGTGGGAGTAAGGAAGAGATGAGAAATGGGGTCAGGGAGAGTGCCCGGGGTACTGGAAAGGCTGAAGGATTAGAAGCAATGAATCAAGAGGCAGAGGGAACTGCGGTGTGTGTGCGCGCGTGTGTGCACACGCGCAAAACCCAAGGTGGGGGAATAGGAATCCCTCCAATCCCCCCAGAATAAAATGAAGCTTGAAAACTACCGCTTCTAATACAAAGACTGTGGGCCCAGAGACTTTAGGGTTACTCTTGACCAGCACTAGCATGCCACACTGCTGCGGGGTGGGGGGGGGGTGTCCTCAAATTCAAACTTGAGTCCTGGCATGCACGCCTGTAACCCCAACTAAGAGGGAGATGGAGGCAGGAAGATCACAAGTTCAAGGTTAACCTGGGACATTCAGGGCTGGGGATATAGCTCAATGGTAACAGGGCTCCCCACCCCCACCTCCCAAAAAATCAAACTGAGGAAGTAGAAGAAAACTCCAGAATTATTAGGCTTGTCCTGCGTCAAACACGGTCTATTCCTGAGACATGGAATCATGGTTAAGCAGACGGTCAGACTAGGCCTTAGGGAAGAAGGGTCAGGGAGACCCTGAGGATGAGGGTGGCTGTGGAGACCTGGGGGCAGAAAAGGACCCGGCCCTACTTGAGCTTGAGTTCCCGGGTCTGCTCGTTCTGCGCCTCCTCCAGGTCCTGCCGCACGCGGATGTACTCGTCATGTTGGTCCTGGATCTCCGCCTTCACCGCCTGCAGCTTGGCGTAGAGCTGGTTGGGGACAGTTACAGCTCAGAAGCTGCCCAATGTGGCAGTGACGCCCCAGTCACCCAGCCTGGCCCTCAGGGCTGCTGGCTCAGGACCCACCTGCTCACTTCCCGGTGCTGCCTCATTCCCGTGAATCAGATGGGCTATTTAAAGGGCCTTTGTGTGTCCCTTTGCTGAGGCCTGCCGTGATTCCCTGCTCTTTCTTAGCTGCTTTAAGCATCATGGAATGTTCACACTGGAAACCTGAGGGACCTTTTGGTCTAACAACCTCTTTTGAATTGAGGAGGAAGCTGAGGCACAGACTAGCAAAAAGGTCACACAATTAATCAATACAAGAGCTAGGACCCCATCTCTTTGGAGAACCAGGGTTGGGTTGGAAGCTGAGCAGGTTGAGAAGGTGACTGGTTCCCACTTTCCAGGGATTCCCAAAAGTGGCAGCAGGATGTGGAGGTTGGCATTGGCCCTCATGTTCCATTCCTAAGCCACTGAGCATGTCCATGACAACTTCCCAGGTAGTGGTGTGGCTAGGACTCTCCTGGCCAGCTCTGGGACAGCCACATCAAAAACTCTGGGAGCTCCCAAGTGCTTCCCAGAATCCAAGCAGGAGTTTGCTACTTCTTGCCCTAGACCTCCATCTTATGTGCACATCTTTCCCCTGCCATGAACTTTGAAAGATCCTGGTGACCAGAGATTCTTATCACTTGACATGGTATGAAGGGCCTTGGCTCCCTTTCTAGGCTTCCACAGGCTTAATTCTTTCTCAGGTCTCTTTACGCTCTCTAGTCCTTCTCCAGATCCAGCTATCCAAACTGATTCTCTGATGACATTGTAAGGGAGGATGTTACCAAGGACTCTGAGTATGGCACACTGGAGACTAAAAGTGACAGCTTACAGCCTATGAACCCTCCCCAACAACTTGGTCCAGGAGAAAAGTATCTATTCCACCCCACGCCAGACTCCTGTCTCCTCCCTGCTCCTCACTCCACTGGCCCAGGCTATACAGCTCAGGGTTCAGTAGTTCATGTAAAAGTGGGAGGACTCCTTGAAGCACCACCCCTTGGGCAGGTGACTGTCTTGGGCAGAGGCTCTTGGGCCCTCAGCACATCTTTTTTTTTTTTTTAATAGTTTTTTAGTTGTAGATGGACACAATATCTTTATTTATTTACTTACTGTTATTTGGTGCTGAGAATCGAACCCAGTTCCTCACATGTGCAAGGCAGGCACTCTACCACTGAGCTACAGTCCCAGCCCTCTCAGCACATCTTGATCCATCCTGCTACAGCATCTCACCTTCTTGAGTTTCTTGGTTTTGACCTCCACCTCCTGCTGCAGGGAGGTGTAAGTACCCCGGAGCTCCATGGTCTCCTCATCTCGGAGCATCATCTCCTGCTGCATTTCGCGTTCACGACGTTTCTAGGCCAAGGAAGGGCAAGGGGACTTCAGTGGGACAGCATGTCCTGGGCAAGGGCCAAGGAAGCTCAGGGGACTGGCTCATTCTGTCATGGAACCTGACTTCACCATAACCCCGAGTGCCAGGAGGGAAAAGGGGACATTCTACGACCCATGTCCACTGTTCCCACCCATGGAGCAGTGGACATCGAGGTCTCCTCAGCTGCCATGGCCATGCCTTTGCAGGTACTGCCCCCTGTGGATGGAGACCCCAGCCCTAATAGCTGGCCTACTCCAGGGGTATTACCCACATACACAGATGCCAATCACACTGACTTCCAAGCCATCTCTCACTTGTCCTACATAGTGTCACTATTGATTGGTAACCAACAAATTGTGCTTCTTGAGGATTTAGGAAATGGTACACAGTTGGCAATGAACTCACAGCCTTGTGGAAGGTCCAGGAGTTCCTTCCAAGTTCCTTGTGGAGGCTGACATCATAGAGTCCTCCACTTCTCATCTACCAGCTAGCAGTGCCCCGAAGACCTCTGGCTGGCAGACCCATGAGACCCGGAGTGGCATGTCTTAGATTCTCAGCACTCTATTTTCCAGGGATCTTAGAGCATTACAGTGTATGAACTCACCTCCAAACCCTAGGCATTACCTCAAGGACATGTACCCCAAGGGGCCCTGAAGACGGGTCACCCTACCTGTTCGGCAATCTCCTGCCTCTTCAGTTCCAACATCTTCTGCTGCTCATTGGTGTGATCCATAATGTTTCTGCCACCGATAAGCAGCTTGCTCTCCATGGCCTGAGGACACACAGAGGTTCAGAGATAGGCTTTGCAAGGGGCCACAGCATCCTCAGCTCAGACATTATTCTTCCCTGCTATGTAATCCTTCTAGGAGTGAACACAAGATGTGTCCAAGACAGGGCCTTGTGGACCTCAATGAGAATAGAGTTTTCCCCTCCAGCTTCTTGAGCCCCAGCACAAGGCTCCCATTGTTGACAAGACCATTAGGGAGGCAAAGAGAGGGAGCCCCTCAGGGAATACAGGGCACCTGATCTATTTGCTTTGGATACAGAATGAAGGTTGGTTCACAGAGCCTGCAAGGAGGGTGGGTGGCAACCAGGCCCCACATGGTATTCAGGAAGGGGAGATAAAAGCGAGTCACTGGGCAGCCCAGCCCTTGCACTAAGTGGCTCCTGACTCAGGAAGACAGCTCTCTCCATGGACAGGAAGAAAGGGTCTCATCTTTGATGTGGAAAGTAGAAGCAAGATCCCAGGGAGAGATTCTGCAGCAACAGGCAGCACAATGGGGCCCCAGAGGCAGGGAGCGCTTTGGAGACAGCTTGAAAGACTTGGGCTCTACCCACGAGGCTGGAAGCCGTGGGCGAGTTACTCTACTGAGCTCCTGTCTATAGTGTTGCAACCACGCCACGTTCATTCCAGAATGGCTCCGATGGAAGGAAAGCACTATGGTAGTTGCTCAACTAAGCCCTTAACAGCCGTGATCTCCATCATCTTCTAAGGGGACTGACTATTCCTCTACTTATTTAACAAGTGAAGATGTTGAGAACAACCCGCCTGAGGTAACGCAGGTGAGATTTGAACCCACATCCCAGCCTCGCTGAGAGCAAAAGGTCCCAACGAGTGCTTGGCACAGGCCGACAGGAGGTATTTCTGGAACTGGAAGCTGAATTAATAATGGATTTGTATGAATCATGACTCCATAAAATGCACTGTCACTACTGCCAATAAGAGGGTGCTGTCCCAGGGCAGCCAGCTGTCCTCTGATTTCATCGCAGACTTCCCRGAAGGTTGAAATCACCTTGAGCCACCAGAAGAAATTGGCTGTCTACCCACTGGAATTTTTCCCAGTGGAACCAGCTGACCTCCTGAGGGCTCTCAAAGCAGAGGTTGCTGTCAGACTGAGGAAGTAGGCAGCCACCTGTGAGAGCCCCATCCCTGAGGACAGAGCAGAAGACGGGTTAAGGGATGCTTTGGGAAGGTCAGACACTTGAACTGGGCCAGTCAGAGAAGCACGAGGACACCAGCCTGCAGATTCTCTGAGGCCAAGGAGAAAGGAAGGGGCTCTTGAATGCCAGCTGTCCTTACTGCCACACCACAGCCACCTGTGCCCCTGGTTAATGGTCTCACCATCTACCCATCACCACATCACTGACATAACTCACCTTGATGCCTTATTTATTTATTTATTATTATTTACTTATTTATTTATTAGTTATAGGTGGACACGATGTCTTCATTTTACTTTATGTGGTGCTGAGGATTGAACCCAGGGCTTCACGCATGCTAGGCAAGTGCTCTACCTCTAAGCCACAACCCTTCTTTTTGTTTGTTTGTAGTACTAGGAACTTGAACCCAGGAATGCTGTACTACTGAGCTATATTCCCAGTCCTCTTTTTTTATAATTTTTTATTTTAGTTATAGATGGACATAATACCTGTATTTATTTATTTTTATGCAGTGTTGAGGATCAAATCAAATGTGTCACACATGCTAGGCAAGCACTCTACCACTGAGCTACAACCCCAGCCTCCCAGTCCTTTTTTATTTTATTTTTATTTTTTGGCTTTTTTTTTTATTGTTGGTTGTTCAAAACATTACATACTTCTTGATACATTATTTTTTTGAGACAGGGTCTAAGTTTTGAGGCTGGCCTGAAACTTGGCAATCCTCCTGGCTCAGCCTCCTAAGTCTCTAGGATTACAGTCATGCACCACCAATGACTGGTTTCTTGACTCCTTCTTGTTCAGGGTTGCATTTACACAACCCTGAGAGTGACTCCTGAAATTCAGCACCTTTGGCAGTTTACTTCCCTCACCTCGTCCCCACTGTGCATCTCACCCCCATCATCTGGCCAGTCGTTAAACACCATCAGATCTGTTTCTTGGTGTAGCCTATGCGACTCCTTCCTTTTGTCCTCATAACACCTGCTGACTTCCTTGCAACCCTTCTGACTCACCTGGACCACTGCTATGGGCTCCCCACTGCCTCAGTTTCCCTTTCCATCCAGCCTCACATGATACCCTATGGAATCCTCCAAAAACACAAGTCTGAACGGATGCTCTTCTGCTTCAAACGACTCCGTGGGTCTTCATTCCCTAGAGGAGGGCATCAAGGTCTGTAGCTGTTACAGGCCCCAGGTATTGGCTCAGCTTCCTACTCTCCGCTGACCACGGAGGCTCTGCACTCCAGTTTGCCRAAGAATTCTAGCTCCTGCGATATGCTGTGGCTTCCACAAATTTCACAAGGTTCTTCCTCCCACTCCATATCCACCTGGAAAACTGCCACCTGTCCTGCAAGACTCAGCTTGAGCATCCTGGGAAACTTTCCTTGATCCCCTCAAAGCTGTTCCTTTAAGGCCTCCTCAATAACCGGGACATGTTCCTACTATTTTCCCACAAGAGAACCATTATTTGTCTACATTCTGCCTCTGCTGTGATTCCTTCAAGACAGGAATCATGTATCACTCATTCCTCAAGGTCCCWGGGTCTTATCACAGATTGGCACATGGCAAGTACTCAATAGGCATTTGATGAACTGAATGGAATCCTCAATGGGGACTCAGATGATGGGTTCCTTTTTTTCTCTTTCTTCTTTTGACTTATTGACAACAAATAGGGCCTATATCCCAGCTGCTCCTTTGATTGATCAACCTATATTCTCTATCACAGGCTCTGAGCATCCGGGAAACCTGGCAGGAGGGGTGGGGTTGTGTAGGGGTGAGATAAAGGAGAGGAACTACACAGAGTAAGTCCCCTACCACTGAGGACCATGGATAACTGCTCTAACTACAGGGAAATGGATTTCTTAGGGGCCTGGTTTGTGGTCTGGTCTCCAAATCGGGGACACATGTGTCCAGTTTAGCCTGGGTTCTTGCACTTTCCTCAGCATTTTATGTGACTCTATCATTCTTTACTCTTTGCTAACTAATAAAAAGACCTGGGGCTGGGGATGTGGCTCAAGCGGTAGCGCGCTCGCCYGGCATGTGTGCGGCCCGGGTTCGATCCTCAGCACCACATACCAACAAAGATGTTGTGTCCGCCGAGAACTAAAAAATAAATATTAAAAATTCTCTCTCTCT